ATGCTTTACTTTGTCCCCTGAACCACCCACACTTTCCCTCAAATCATGCTTTACTTTGTCCCCTGAAGTTGGGGCCCAACTTGAGATTTTATTTCAGCCTGTGGGAGCAATGAAAACAGACACAGCGCGGTGGCTCACGCCTGTAATCCCAACACTTTGGGAGGCCGAGGCGGGCGGATCACAAGGTCAGGAGATCGAGACCACGGTGAAACCCCGTCTCTACTAAAAATACAAAATATTAGCCGGGCGCGGTGGTGGGCGCCTGTAGTCCCAGCTACTCAGGAGGCTGAGGCAGGAGAATGGCGTGAACCCCGGAGGCAGAGCTTAGAGACTCGGTCTCAAAAAAAAAAAAAAAAAAAAAAGGCAGACACAGCCAATGTGGTCCACTGCATTCCTTTGCATTTCTTTCTTTCTTTCTTTCTTTTTTTTTTTTGGAGACAGGGTCTCACTCTGTTGCCCAGGCTGGAGTGCAGTGGTGTGATCACGGTTCACTGCAGCCTCAACTTTGCAGGCTCAAATGATCCTCCCACCTCAACCTCCTGAGTAGCTGGAACTACAGGTGTGCACCATCACGCCTAGTTATTTTTTTCTATTTTGTAGAGATAGGGTCTCACCATGTTGTCAGGCAGATCTCAAATTCTGGGGCTCAAGCAGTCCTCCTGCCTCAGCCTCCCAAAATGTTGGGATTATAGGTGTGAGGCACCACACCCAGCCTTTCCTTTGCATTTCTAAACTCTGGGAGCCAGATAGGTAGGGGGCTCATAAAGGAAGGACGAGTCTGGAAAAAAGACAGCCCCTGCCCGTTTCTTCCACCCTCATAGTCACTGTTGTGATGAGTATCATCTTCAAACAACTCAGGCTTACCTGTCTTTTCTGTCCAAATCTGGTTTTGCTGTTCATTTGGCTGGGACCTTTACCCATCACTCTGACAGTAAAACAGCCCTGGATCCTGTTAGAGTGAATGGGGTGTGTGGTCCTCCATGGGTTTGAGCTTTTTTTTTCTAGATGTCATGATTGCAACCAAAGTCATTCACAATCTCTCCTTGATACCCCCAGGCCTGAGACCCTCATTTCCCCGACTCACTGACCTGCCATTCCCACAGATAAAACTGCCCCTTTCTCTCCAAGTTCTCAACAAGCTGCAACTGCCTTCTTTCATCGGCTTGTTGTTCAAAACCCATTTTTAGGCCGGGCGCGGTGGCTCACGCCTGTAATCCCAGTACTTTGGGAGGCAGAGGTGGGCAGATCACGTGAGGTTAGGAGTTTGAGACCAGCCTGGTGAAACACCGTCTCTGCTAAAAATACAAAAAATTAGCCAGATGTGGTGGTGTGTGCCTGTAATCCCAGCTACTCGGGAGGCTGAGGCAGGAGAATGGCTTGAACCCAAAAGGCAGAGGTTGCAGTGAGCCGAGGTCACATCATTGCACTGCAGCCTGGGCAACAACTGTCTCAAAAACAACTCTGTCTCAAAAACAAAAACTCTGTCTCAAAAACAAAAACTCTGTCTCAAAAACAAAAACTCTGTCTCAAAAACAAAAACTCAGAAACTCTGTCTCAAAAACAAAAACAAAAACCATTTTTAATCTAATGACAGCACATACATGTTAAAACAATTCAAACAGGTTGGGTGCAGTGGCTGACGCTTGTAATCCCAGGACTTACGAGGCCAAGGCGGGTGGATCACTTGAGGCCAAGAGTTCAAGACCAGCCTAGCCAACATGGTAAAACCCTGTCTCTATTAAAAACACAAAAATTAGCCAGGCGTGGTAGTCCACGATTGTAATCCCAGATACTTGGGAGGCTAAGACACGAGAATTGCTTGAGCCGGGAGGCAGAGGTGCCCATGTTGGCCAGGCTGGTCTCTAACTCCTGCTCTCAAGTGATCCACCCTCCTCAGCCTCCCAAAGTGGTGGGATTACAGGCGTGAGCCACAGTGCCTGGGCAACAAACCTTTCATTAGTTTGTTTTGTCTAGTATCTTATAGCCTTATAGAAGAGGTTTTAAAAATAATTTTTATAAATTTAATATGTGAATATTGAAAAACAACAATAAAATAATTCATTCCAATGGTAAAATAGAATTTTCCAGGTATCCCTGACTCGAATTCCTGACTTTCCTGTGATTTCATTCCATCACATTTCTTTGGAAGCAGAGTGGTGGGATGAAGGGGCAGGGCTCTGTTGAGAGTAGGTGGAAGTGAATGGGAAAGGCATTTATCACAACACTCTTTATGATGAAAAAAGAACATGGAAATAAACCCAATGCCGGTCACAAATAGGGGACCAGTTCAGGGCTGGGTGTGGTGGCTCATGCCTATAAATCCCAGCTCCTTGGGAGGCTGAGGTGGGATGATGCCTCAAGGCCACAAGTTCGAGACCAACCTGGGCAACATATCAAGACCCATCCCCCCATCTTTTTTTTTTTTTTAAATACAGGGTTTCACTCTAACATCCAAGCTGGAGTGCAGTGTCATGGCTCACTGCAGCCTTGACCTCCCAGGCTCAAGTGATCCTCCCACCTCACCCTCCTGAGTAGCTGGGACTATAAGAACACACCACCACACCCAGCTAATTTTGTTTTTGTAGAGATGTAGTCTCAAGGTATTACCCAGGCTGGTCTCAAACTCCTAGACTCAAGTCATCTTCTTGCCTTGGCCTCCCAAAATATTGGGATTACAGGTGCAAGCCACCATGCCCAGCCAACCCCATCTCTCTCTCTCTCTTTTTTAATTGATTTATGTTTGAGATGGAGTTTTGCTCTTGTTGCCCAGGCTGGAGTGCAATGGCACGATCTCAGCTCACTGCCACCTCTGCCTCCAGGGTTCAAGTGACTGTCCTTGCCTCAGTCTCCCAAGTAGCTGGGATTTTTACAGGCGCCTGCCACCATGCCCAGCTAAATTTTTATCTTTTTAGTAGAGACAGAGTCATCATGTTGCCCAGGCTGGTCTCGAACTCCTAACCTCAGGTAATCTGCCCGCCTCAGCCTCCCAAAGTGCTGGGATTACAGGTGTGAGCCACCACACCCAGCTTTTTTTTTTTTTCAGAGACAGGGTCTCGCTCTATTGCCCAGGCTGGAGTATAGTGGCACAATCACAGCTCACTGCAGCCTTAACCTCCCAGGCTCAAGCAATTCTTCTGCCTCAGCCTCCCGAGTAGCTGGGACTACAGGCATGTACCACCATGCCTGACTAATTTTTGGTAGAGATGGGGTCTCACTTTGTTCCCCAGGCTGGTTTCAATCTCCTGGACTCAAGTGATCCTCCCACCTCAGCCTTCCAAAGTGCTGGGATTACAGACATAAGCCACTATGCCCAGTTGACACCATGTCTTTAAAAAAAAAAAAAAAAAAATCTTAAGGGAACCAGTTCCATAAAATGTCACCCTTGAATTCCCTGGGCTTCAAATATCCTCATCTGTAAATTGGCGATAGTAATAGGACCCACAACCTTCAGTTATTATGATTAAATTGGCCGGGTGCAGTGGCTCACACCTGTAATCCTAGCACATTGGGAGGCTGAGGCAGGCGAATCACTTGAGCTCAGGAGTTTGAGACCAGCCTGGGCAACATGGTGAAACCCTGTCTCTACCAAAAATAGAAAAATTATCCGGGCATGGTGTCAAATGCCTGTGGTCCCAGCTCCCGGGAGGCTGACATGGGAGGACTGCTTGAGCCCAGGTGGCAGAGATTGCAGTGAGCCAAGATCATGTCACTGCACTCCAGCCTGGGTGACAGAGTGAGACCCCATCTCAAAAAAAAAAAAAAAAAAATTAAATAGATTAACATATATAAAATACCTTGAACAGTACCCAGCACATTGTCTCATAAATATTGTTCTTGTTAACGTTACACGTTTGTGCAGTGAAATAGAGTCTATTCTTTATCAATCATGTTACAAAAGAGTATTTAATATTAAAAGACACTGATAAGCTTGTTACATGGACAAGGGAGATGCTGAGTCAATACAATACAGTGGGATCTTTCAGTGACTTTAAAACATTGTTCAATTGATTGTATTTGTTATAAAAATAGTGTGGAAAATAACAGCTTCGAATTTTATGTCAGTTGATGTTAAGATCCAACAGGAAGTTTACCCTGATAACGTTAAGATGAACAATTTGAAACGCAGCTTCCTGCTGGAAGTTGAAATAGAGATGATTCAGATAGCCTCCTTGGATCCAAACCCCAAAGCTTATTTTGCCTAATTCTATCTTCTGTCTTTAGAAACTCAAGCCTCAAGCTTTCTGGGGGCATCCAAGTCCAACCATCCCAGTCACACACACACAACCGACCTTATTCATCCCAGGGGTGTGCAGAGGCCCACTGCAAGAACTGGTGAACTTTCAAGGCGTCTTTACATATATGATGATTTTTTATTACATTATTCAAGTTTTGCTTGGACAAGATTGTGCTGCTAAAAAGTGGCCTACACCCCCTTTTTTTTTTTTTTTTTTTTTAAGACAGGGTTTCACTCCCGTCACCCAGGCTGGAGTGCAGTGGCGCGATCTTAGCTCACTACAACCTCCGCGTCCTGGGCTCAAGCAATCCTCCTGTCACAACCTCCCGAGTAGCTGGGACTGCAAGCGCCCGCCACCATACCCGGCTAATTTTTGTAGTTTTAGTAGAGACAGGGTTTCACCATGTTGGCCAGGCTGGTCTTGAACTCCTGGCCTCAAGTGATCCACCTGCCTCGGCCTCCCTAAGTGCTGGGATTACAGGCGTAAGCCACCGCGCCCGGCCCTACACCACTTTTAAAAGTCGTGTTTCTTCTCTTTTTTATAATGTACTTCTGATTTCTAGGGAATGATTCGCAAACTCACCCCTGACGCTATGTCCCTTAGACACTATCCTTCCATATACAAAAAGTGCCATTAACGAGTGGGTAGAACTCGAGGGGTGGAGCCTCCGTCCTTGGGCCTGAAGCGAATGTCCCTCAATGCGCCTGCGAGACTCCCACACCCTGGGAAGGATGTCTATCGATTCGCTCTGGGCTCGGCAGCTCTTTCTGATAGCAGGCAGCCATCTTGCTTGGAGCCTGAGAAAGGGAGGAGAGACAGAAGGAACCGGCGACAGTGGTCTCAGGGCCGCTCCGGGGGGCCTCAAGAACCGGAGGCAGCCCCGGAGGTGGTTCCCGATCCCGGGCTATGCTCTTGGACCTGAGAAGGGAAGGCGGAGGGCGGCGGGGACAGGATGGATGGGGAATGTCAAGCAAGGAATGCTAGGCGGGGGAGGGGCGTTGCTATGGCGACTGGGGAGGGGCGGTGTCTGTTCTGAATCGCTGTGTGTCACCCCGGCGCTGCCCAGGAAGGGCAGGGCTGGGGTGATGACCATGGTAACAGCCGGGTGGGAGTTCGTGACATCTCCGGCGCGGAGGGACTCGATGTCTATGGCAGTGGTCGCCTGGCGGACGGGACGGAACTAGATCCCTTCGCTCGGGACGCTCACATTCCAGGCCCTTGTCCTGCAGGCTCCCGCGGGCGGACACGCCAGAGGAGGAGGCCGGGGAATGGCCGCGGTGTGGCAGCAAGTCTTAGCAGTGGACGCGAGGTGAGGCGTGGGGTCGAAGCCCATGGGAGCAGAACTTACTGTGGTGCATGCGCAATGGCGATAAGTGAGGCTGGGCGGAGAACTTGCCTTAATGCGGCTGCGTGGGCATGCCGGAGGTGAGCATGCGCAGTAGCGGGGGCGGGCACGCCCGCGGTGAGTTGGCTGGGCCGGAGAGGATTCTAAACAGCAAGCCGGGAAAGTGTGGTCAGATACAGGCATGCGCAACGACGCTGCCTGTGAGAGGGAGGTGGGGCTCAGGCTAGTGACATCCTATCCCCTATGGGTGTCCCCTGGACTTTTTTTTTTTTTTACATCCCCATTCTGACCCCATCACCTCCCAACGCTGACCCCCTTAATGTCATTCTGACTTCTGTCGCCCTGGTATACCGACCCCAGTTATTGTCTGCACTGACTCAGTCACCCCGTATGGACCCCAGCAGGGCAGCAGACTGACACTGTTGTCTGCAAACTGACCTCATGACCATGCTCATTATTACTGCAGATTCACTCCCACTGCAGGACCAAGAGGTCCCCCATCACCACTGCTAGTCATTCTAACCACCCAGGCCCCAGTCACTGCCACACACCTCACTCTCCTGCCCTATCTCCCGAGCTGATTGATTCCCTCTGTCCTGTGCCTGCTGCCTGCCCTGCATCCTGACCCTGCAGGTACAACGCGTACCGCACACCAACGTTTCCACAGTTTCGGACGCAGTATATCCGCCGGCGCAGCCAGCTGCTGCGGGAGAATGCCAAGGCTGGGCACCCCCCAGCGCTGCGTCGGCAGTACCTGAGGCTTCGGGGGCAGCTGCTGGGCCAGCGCTACGGACCCCTCTCCGAGCCAGGCAGTGCTCGTGCCTATAGCAACAGCATCGTCCGCAGTAGCCGCACTACCCTTGACCGCATGGAGGTGAGCTCCTGGCCACATTCACCCCCTGGGCATACCCTGCCTGCACACATTCACTCCACTGACTTTCATCAAGCACCTGCTCTTTGCTGGGCACTGTTCTGCATCAGCAGAGGACAAAAATATAATATGCCAAGTAAATCAATAAACAGACAATAAACTTGGTAAACAGGTCAGTAAACATATAGCAAGCCCTGTCTTGAGTATCTGCTGAGCAGGGGGAGGGCAGGAACAGCAGAACTCATGAGGAAGCCACTGTACAAGCGGGCAGCGGTGGTGGTGGCAGGGGGCACGGTGAGAAGTGATCTGGCTCTAGGTAGATTTTCAGGGCTCCACACCTCAAAGGTTCTCGGGTTTTTTGCAGGATGCACCCACCCTGACCCTTTCCATTTGCAGGACTTTGAGGATGATCCTCGGGCCCTGGGGGCCCGTGGGCACCGTCGTTCTGTCAGCCGAGGCTCCTACCAGCTACAGGCACAGATGAACCGTGCTGTCTATGAGGACAGGTATGCACAGAGGCAACCAAGGCTGGGGGTGGGTTGCGAGGAGGAGAGGGGCCCTGGGGCAATGGCAGACTGAACACTTTTGCATCTACCTCCTGTCACCCCTCACTTCCTGTTGGGGCCCAGGCCCCCTGGCAGCGTGGTGCCCACGTCAGCGGCAGAGGCAAGTCGGGCCATGGCCGGGGACACATCACTGAGCGAGAACTATGCCTTTGCGGGCATGTACCATGTTTTTGACCAGCACGTGGATGAGGCAGGTGAGCCAGTGGGTGGTGGGTTCCATCACCAAGCATTTGCCCAAACTGTGACAACCAACCAAGGCATCCTTTTCTGAATCCAAGGCCCCTGGCACACCTCCAAAGGAGGAATGACCATCCGTAAAGCCTTTTGCAGACTGAAAATCCCTCTGCAAAGTGGTCTGCAGAGTCTCAGTGCTTCGTCTATTGGAAAGGGCCTCAGAAGCCTAAGAGAGCCCTTTGCAGCAGGCTGCCTGGGTTCCTGAGTCACTTGGAAGAGTTCAAAGCCTTTGCTGATGATAAATCCCCTTGCAGAGGGCAGAGTGGGCTACAGTGTCAAGGGTTTTGCAAACTGCCAAGAACTTGATTATAAAGTGTTCCCTAAGACAGGAACTTTCTCACATTGCAGAAGACTTGCAATCTGCAAAGGAGCTGCTAAGACTTAGGGAGTTTTGGCAGAGAGTCTTCTGGGGTTACAGTTCCCTTTGTCAGCCAAGGAAAGCCCTTTGCTGAGGCCACTGTGCCTCATGCCGTGGGGCCCCAGCCCCTGGCACACACGTCAGAGCCTTTTAGAGAGAAAAGTGCCCAATGAGTGTGCAGACTCCCACTAATGGCTTCTTGGCATTGCAGTCCCAAGGGTGCGCTTCGCGAATGATGACCGGCACCGCCTGGCCTGCTGCTCACTCGACGGCAGCATCTCCCTGTGCCAGCTGGTGCCCGCCCCACCCACAGTGCTTCGTGTGCTACGGGGCCACACCCGTGGTGTCTCTGACTTCGCCTGGTCCCTCTCCAATGACATCCTCGTGTCCACCTCACTGGATGCCACCATGCGCATCTGGGCCTCTGAGGATGGCCGCTGCATCCGGGAGATCCCTGACCCTGATGGCGCTGAACTGCTCTGCTGCACCTTCCAGCCCGTCAACAACAACCTCACCGTGGTCAGGCTCCAGGACACCCACTCATCAAGGGCTGATGGGCTGGGTCAGGAAGGCCATCTGAGGGATTCAGAGTATAAGGAGGGACAGCCAGGGGGGCCTAGGATCCCCCCGCACCCGCCCAATCTCGTCACAGCAGTCCTAGTGTGGTCAGACTTAAAAGGGAAGCAAATCAGAAGACAGGGGAGTGGGCCGGGCGTGGTGGCTCACGCCTGTAATCCCAGCACTTTGGGAGGCTGAGGCGGGTGGATCACGAGGTCAGGAGATCGAGACCATCCTGGCTAACACAGTGAAACCCCATTTCTGCTAAAAATACAAAAACTTAGCCGGGCGTGGTGACGGGCGCCTGTAGTCCCAGCTACTCGGGAGGCTGAGGCAGGAGAATGGCATGAACCTGGGAGGTAGAGCTTGCAGTGAGCCGAGCTGGCGCCACTGGGTGACAGAGCGAGACTCCGTCTCAAAAAAAAAAAAAAAAAAAGGGGAGTGCCATTCTTGGTCTGGGATGGCCTTGCTGTGGTATACTCCAGGGAGCACTGGCCAGGGGCAGGGTTCTGGCTCTGGGGCCCCTTTGGTCCCATCAGCTGCAGTCCTACAGTTTTCCAACTGCAGGGGCTACCTCTGAGGAGCAGGATGATGAGGCTGAGCCTTGTCTGGTCTGTCAGTGGCCCCACCATGTCAGACTCCAGGGTAGATTGGTCAGAGAGCAGGGGAAGGACATTAGAAAGTCTGGTGTAACCCGGAGTGGGGTGGGGTGAACTGCAGAGGAACCGACTAAGGGTGAGCTTGTGGGCCGGGATTCTCCCCACATCAGCAGCAGCCCCACAAGTTCCAGAAAGGAGCAGCCAGGGAGCAGGGGAAAGCTGGGATCACAGGCCTAGATGGGCCCTGTGGTTCTCACACTGTGGGAGGACCAACCAAGGGGCAGCATGATGGCTCCGAAGGCCCTTTAGTCCCATAAGCAGGTGGCCTACTCTGGGCAGATTGCAAAAGGGGCTGGCTAGGGAGGTGGATTCATGCCTGGTCACCTTGTCTACCTGCCACAGCCGCACTGTGAATAGACTCAGGGACTAGCCAGTCGCATCAACAGCAGCCCCATTGTGGTCAGACTCAAGGAGGGCCTGGCTGGGAGCAGGATGATGGTCTGTGCATTCTCCCCACAGGTGGGGAACGCCAAGCACAACGTGCATGTCATGAACATCTCCACGGGCAAGAAAGTGAAGGGGGGCTCCAGCAAGCTGACGGGCCGTGTCCTTGCTCTGTCCTTTGATGCCCCTGGCCGGCTGCTCTGGGCGGGTGATGACCGGGGCAGTGTCTTCTCTTTCCTCTTCGACATGGCCACGGGTAGGCAGACAGCAGGCCTGCATCTGAGTGCTCGCCCTCCAGCCCTTCCAGGGCACAGCCCTCACCCTCGCCTTTGCCTTCCCTCCCTCTGCTGCTGCAGGGAAGCTGACTAAAGCCAAGCGTCTGGTGGTGCATGAGGGGAGCCCTGTGACCAGCATCTCAGCCCGGTCCTGGGTCAGCCGCGAGGCCCGGGATCCCTCACTGCTCATCAATGCTTGCCTCAACAAGCTGCTGCTCTACAGGTGGGTCCCCCATCAGGGCCTCCTGGAGATGGAGGGCCTGCCTCCTCCAGCACACTGGGACAGTAGCTCATCTCCTCCATCAGGTTAATTTAATTGAGGGAGCAGTAGTAGCAGTTAACAGTAATAGCAATAGTGAGCGCGTTTACAGCAATCACTGCGGCCAGGCCCGTTCGAAGCAGTTTCCACGTATCACCATATTGAATCCTTGCACCGACCTGTGAGGTAGGTGCTGTTATTATTTCCATTTTGCAGGCGAGCAAACTGAAGCATAAAATAGATTAGGGCTACCTAAAGCAGAGGCCTGTTTTCCTTTCTTTTTTCTTTTATTGTTTTTGTTTTTGCGGGGGGCAATTTGGGGTTTACTGTCCCCACTCACATCTGTCATGTTGCCCAAATGCAGTTCTCAGCCTGGGCCACACATTGAAATGACCTGAAGAGCTTCAAAAACTCTTGCCCGGGCCCCTCTGCAGGCCAGTAATTTCAGAAGCTTTGGGATGGGCCTGGGCATTGGTAGATTGAGAAATTCCCTAAGCGATATCTAGCCAGGCCTGAAAACCACTGCCTAAGAGGATGCTTTTTATTCTACCCCTTTATTTCTCTCCTCCTTTTTAAACAATTTCTATATATACTTAAATTTTTAAAAATTTAAGTGTACCCTTAAGTTTGTACCCATTTCCCACAGCCTCTCCTTTCTTCCTCCTGCCGCCTCTGGCCTCCTTCTGCCACAGTAAAGCCCATTAACGATCCACATCTTTCCACATATCCTTGTCTGTCTACAAATCCTAGGCGTGTACACATATCCGCGTGTGTTTTTGTTTGTGAGACAGGGTTTTGCTGTTACCCAGATTGGAGTGCAGTGGCATGATCATGGCTCACTGCAACCTCCAATTCCTGGGCTCATGCGATTCTCCCACCTCAGCCTAAGTAGCTGAGATTACAGGCACACGCCACCATGCTCGGCCAACTTTTTTAATCTATTTTTTGTAGAGATGAGGTTTTGCTGTGTTACCCAGTCTGGTCTCGAACTCATGGCCTCAAGTGATCCACGCACTTTGGCCTCCCAAAGTGCTGGGATTACAGGCGTGAGCCACCTTGCCTAGCTCCCACCACAGTTTTGAAGGAAAGACATTTTAAAGAAATGGCCTTTTCCGGCCAGGCACAGTGGCTTACGCTTGTAATCCCAGCACTTTGGGAGGCCAAGGCGGGTGGATCACCTGAGGTCAGGAGTCCGAGACCAGCCTGGCCAACATGGCAAATCCCCTTCTGTACTAAAAATACAAAAATTAGCTGAGCTTGGTGGCAGGTGCCTATAATCTCAGCTACTCGGGAGGCTGAGGCTGGAGAATTGCTTGAACTTGGGAGGCGGAGGTTGCAGTGAGCTGAGATGGTGCCACTGCACTCCAGCCTGGACGACAGAGCCAGACTCCATCTCTTAAAAAAGAAAGAAAAAAGAAATGGCCTTTCCTACATTTCAAGTTTCTCACCATGCGATGCCTTGTGGCAACCCCCCAGGTCACCTGTGGGGACTGTGGTTTATTCTAAGGGCTGTGCAGTTTTCCACAGTGTGGGCGTACCATAGTGTGTTTATTTCCTCTCTTTGTGCCTGTCTTAACACCAGGATCTTTTAGAGACCCTTAGAAAGAAAAGCTAGTGAATGAAACTGCAGAGGCTCCCATTTATACCAACAGAGATGGTTTCTGAACCATCAGTAACTCACACATCAGCCCCTATTTATAGTTTATGCAGTCATCTCAGAATTGGGTGTCATAAGCTGGGTGTGGTGTGTGCCTATAGGTAGTCCCAGCTACTCGGGAGGCTGAGGCGGGAGGATCACTTGAGCCTGGGAGGTTGAGGCTGCAGTGAGCCATGATCGCACCACTATACTCCAGCCTGGGTGACAGAGTGAGATCCTGTCTCAAAAACTAAAACAAAAAAAAAACGGGTTTCATGCACCTTGAAAAGAACTTAGGCACAGGGGTGGGGACATAGGCCCACAACTTGTCTCCCTGCTGGGGCTGTGTTTTGACCCGGTCTGTCCTCCTGTCAGGGTGGTAGACAACGAGGGGACCCTGCAGCTGAAGAGAAGCTTCCCCATCGAGCAGAGCTCACATCCTGTGCGCAGCATCTTCTGTCCCCTCATGTCGTTCCGCCAGGGGGCCTGCGTGGGTGAGTCCTGTAGGGACAGGGGATCTGGGTGACTGGGGAGGGGCAGGAGCCAGGGCTGGTGCCAGCCTGGCTCAGACATCATGACACTCTGATGCCCTGACTTCCTAGGCCTCATGACCCCTCCTGCCCCAACAGCCTCACTCTGGGACTCACAGCTCCAAACAGCTCAGAGAACTCACAGTTTGCACTTGGTCTCAGCCAAAAGGCCGAGAAGTGATGAAAACTCACACTTTGAACGCACTTCCCCCCAAACAGCCCAGAGACCTCGCACTCTGCACACAGTACCGAAACAGCCAGGCGACCTCCCATCTAGGGATGGGGCCCCCTCAAACCTCCCCAAGCCATGCTAGGACCTCACACCTCGGACATACACCCTTCAACACCTCAGACACCTCAGGGACTTCCCACCACGGGCACCCCAGGCGCCTCCCGATGGCCTCTCCCTCTCACCCCGACAGTGACGGGCAGTGAGGACATGTGCGTGCACTTCTTTGATGTGGAGCGGGCGGCCAAGGCTGCCGTCAACAAGCTGCAGGGCCACAGTGCACCTGTGCTTGATGTCAGCTTCAACTGCGACGAGAGCCTACTGGCCTCCAGTGACGCCAGCGGCATGGTCATCGTCTGGAGGCGGGAGCAGAAGTAGGGTCCTGTCAGCCCTGCTGCTGTCCTCCATCCCACCCCTCTTACTCCAGCCTCGTGTTGTAAATAAAGTTTCGGTGGTCGTGCTGAGGGCCAGCTCCCAACTCTGCCAGGGACGGGCAGGGCAGCGGGCAGCTCCAGGAACACAGTGGAACGGGGTTCATTGACTCATTCGTGCATTCATGCATCGACGGATTCATTCATTCCACAAGCATTGATTGAATGTCTGCTGGGTCACAGGCACCGCCTTAACTGTTTTACATACTCATGCATTCGATAGACATTAGTGAGCCCCGACCGTGTGCCAGGAACCGTTCTGGGCACTGGGGATACTGCTCTGACCTAAACTGACAGAAATGCCTGCCCTCATTGGGCTTGCATCATAATGGAGACAGTAGACAAAAATACGGAACAGGCCAGCTAATGATGAGTGGTGTGAAGAAAATAAAGCAAGGATGGGAGACAGAGCTACAGAAGTTGGGGGAGTGGGCTCTTTATGGTGACAGCATCAGGGAAGATGATCCTGACAGGGTGACTTTTTTGTTCTTGAGACAGGGTCTCACTCTGTCACCCAGGTTGGAATGCAGTGGCATGACCATAGCTCACTGCAGCCTCAATCTCCGGGACTCAAGTGGCCCTCACTTAAGCCTCCCAAGTAGCTGGGACTATGGGTGTGTGCCACCACACCTGGGTACTTTTTGTATTTTTAGTAGAGACGGGATCTCGCCATGTTGCCCAGGCTGGTCTCGAACTCCTGGGCTCAAGCGATCCACTCGCCTCAGCCTCCCAAAGTGCTGGGATTACAGGCGTGAACCACCACACCTGGCTCAGGGTGACATTTAAATAAAGACTTGAATGAAGTGAGTGGGAGTCATAGTGTAGGGGGAGAACATTCTAGGCAGAGAGAAAGCCAGCCTAAAGGCACTTAGGCTAGAGCGCTCCAGAAGGATCATTGTGTATGCCAGAGTCTTGCTGGACCAGAGTGTGACAGTAGATGAGGTCAGACAGGCCAGATGCTTCGTGGGCCACAGTGAGGACTTTGGCTTTTTTTCTGAGTGGGGGTGACCAGAAGGTCTCAAGCAGAGGAGGGGTATGATCTGACTTGGTCATAGAGGCTCCCTCTGGCTGCTGAAGGGAACAAATTGGGGGTGGGCGTAGAAGCAGGGGACCCAGCAGGAGACCCCTCTGAGCGCAGTGATGGGGACTTGCACCAGGGTAGTGACAGTGGAGGAGTTGGCAGGGAACATTGGGTTGGACCCCCAGCGGGTTCACCATGTTAGGCTGCAGGACTCTGCTGCCTCCTCAGGGGGCGATATTCCCAGACTCCTCCACACAGCAGCCCTTGCCTGGGCTCCACCTCTCTCTGTGCATAGTGTTGTTTCTTGAAAGCAGGGAGCAGACGTGTTGGGTCCTGGAGCCCCAAGCTGGTGCAGGAGCAACTGGAAGTTAAGGCTGACCTGGGGCCTCCTGCTGTGTGGTGGAATCTCCATCCCTCAGACCACCCTTGTCTCCTCCCAGCCCCATTCAGGGTGCAAATTCCAGCCCTGGAACAGCTTAGAGACCAAAAAATGATGTTAAGTATTTGAGGGGAGCCCCGAGAGAGGAGAAAAAGGTTTGAGTATTGATGGGAGTAAATAACCAAAATCGCTTATCAGTGGCCTGTGTCACCAGAAAATGTCAAAGTTACCTGAAGCGGCAAAGAGGCTCTTGCTCCATCCCCTCCCTTCCTCCTCAGCTCCATTTGTTGCCACATATGTGTTGACTGGAACTGCGACTGACATCTTGGGACCTTAGGGTCAGTCCACAGCTTGGTAGAGACTCCAGCTTGGTCCAGTGTTGCTGAGCTGCTGAACTTGCACCAACAGTCTTGTTGGAGGGAAATAATCTCCCGTTTGTTCAGTCCAGTTATTTGACAGTGTGGTTACTTTTACCCCAAGCATTTCTATCTGGCACTTCCATCTAATAGACCTCAGGGTACATGGTGGTGAGATAGGGACATCAGTGAGCTAGATTGTTCCCGTGGTAAAGGTCATGTATGTGTGTGTGTGTCATGGTCCCCAATACCAGTCCCAGGCCCAGTGATTTGCTAGGAGGACTTCCAAGACTCAGTATGTGGTTGTATTCATGGCTATGATTGATTTATTACAACAAAAAGATATAGAGCAAAATCAACAAAAAGAAATGGTGTGCAGGACCAACTCCCAGAGAGACCCAGTGACAAGTTTCCAGGGCTCCTCTCTCATTGGAGTCACAGAAGATGTGCTCGGTTCACAGTAATGGGTTGTGACAATACATGCGAAATGTTGTCAACCAAGGAAGCTCAGTTAGAGACTCAGCACTCAGAAGTCTTTTTTTGTTGTTGTTGTTTTGTTTTGTTTTATTTTGGGGGGGGTCTTGCTCTGATGCCCAGGCTGGAATGCAATGGCGTGATCTCGGCTCACTGCAGCCTCCACCTCCTGGGTTCAAGCGATCCTTGGGCCTCAGCTTCTCGAATAGCTGGGACTACAGGCGCACACCAGCAAGCCCAGCTAATTTTTGTATTTTTAGTAGGGATGGAGTTTCACCATGTTGGCCAGGCTGGTCTTGAACTCCTGACCTCAAGTGATCCTCCCACCTCAGCCTCCCAAACTGCTGGGATTACAGGCGTGAGCGCCTGGCTGGTATCAAGTTTTTACTGGGGTATGGTCACACAGGCACCCCCTGCCTGGCACCTACCCAAATCCCAGACTCCCAAAAGGAAAGCAGGGACTCAGCATAAATCACCTTTTTAAATTATTATTATTGAGACGGAGTCTCGCTCTGTCGCCAGGCTGGAGTGCAGTGGTGCGATCTCAGCTTACTGCAACCTCTGCCTCCTGGGTTCAAGCAATTCTGCCTCAGCTTCCTGAGTAGCTGGGACTACAAGCGCGTGCCACCATGCCCAGCTAACTTTTGTATTTTTAGTAGAGACGGGGTTTCACCATATTGGCCAGGCTGGTCTCCATCTCTTGACCTTGTGATCCGCCCACCTCGACCTCCCAAAATACTGGGATTACAGGCGTGAGCCACTGCTCCCGGCCCACTTTTTTATACAAACAGCTTAGGTAGAGTAAGCCATTCTTTTTTATTTTTTTCTTTTTTTGAGACAGGGTCTCACTTTGTTGCCCAGGCTGGAGTGCAGTGGCTCAAACACGGTTCGCTGCAGCCTCAACCTCCCAGGCTCAAGCAGTCCTGCTGTTTCAGCCTCCAAAGTAGCTGGGACCACAGACATGCACCACCACAACCCCAGCTGATTTTTGTAGAGATGGGTTTCACCATGTTGCCCAGGCTGGTCTTGAACTCCTGGGCTCAAGTGATCCTCCCACCTTGGCCTCCCAAAGTGCTGGGATTACAGGTGTGAGCCACCACGCCCGGCCAGAGTGAGCCGTTCTTATCTCTTAGGGAATGGTGGGAACCCTCCTGGAATCTGTGTTCCTAGACACCAGTCAAGGGCCAACCTTGAAGCAGGCCTTTCCAAAGATCGCAGTTGAGGCCTGCTCTGTTACTGTTTTTCTGCACAGTATGCAACACCACACAGATGCTCAGTTTCCACCAAGGTCTGTGGATGGCAAGATAATTTTGAGGAACCTCCTTTTTCGCTAACATTTTTCTTCTTTTGTTTACACTCCACATTCTCTATTGAGTCTAGATTCAAGATGATTGATCATGAATATTGTGCATGATTTTGGGGGTCTCCTCTTTGTGAAATTTTGAGGTGGCAGATTTGACATTCTACTTTAAACTCATCTTGGTGGTACTTTTCTTGACTCACCACCTGAGGGGGAATAGATAATGCAGAAAGAATAAAAAGAGTGTTATCAGTCGCATTCGGGCCTCGGTTAACTTGTCCAGCATCACTGGTTTCACATCAGATCTGAAGCTCTGTCAACCATTCCACTATCAATGCCCCTCTGGTCTTGCCTCAAATCGAGGCTTTGATTAATTGTTCCCTGCCCTTTGTCTGACTTTGAACCTGTGTGTTTGTCAACTACTTTACCATCAAGAGCCTCTCTGGGCCAGGCGCGATGGCTCATACCTGTAATCCCAGCACTTTAGGAGGCCAAGGCGGGCAGATCACGAGGTCAGGAGATCAAGACCATCCTGGCTGACACGGTGAAACCCTGTCTCTACTACAAATATGAAAAAATTAGCTGGGCGTGGTGGCGGGCGCCTGTAGTCCCAGCTACTCAGGAGGCTGAGGTAGGAGAATCGCTTGAACCCGGGAGGCGGAGGTTGCAGTGAGCCGAGATCGCGCCACTCCACTCCAGCCTGGGCGACAGAGGGAGACTCCATGTCAAAAAAAACAAAAAAACAAAAAAAATGGCTGGGCGCAGTGGCTCACGCCTGTAATCCCAGCACTTTGGGAGGCCAAGGTGGTGGATCACGAGGTCAGGATATTGAGACCATCCTGCCCAACGTGGTGAAACCCCATCTCTACTAAAAATGCAAAAATTAGCTGGATTTGGTGGCGTGTGCCTGTAATCCCAGCTACTCAGGAGGCTGAGGCACAAGAATAGCTTGAACCCAACAGGCGGAGGTTGCAGTGAGCCAAGATTGCGCCACTGCACTCCAGTCTGGTGACAGAGCAAGACTTGTCAAAAAAAAAAAAAAAAAGAAAAGAAAAAAAAGCCTCTCTGGTCTCAGAACGAAGCTGGGCCTTTGTTAACTATTACCCCACTGGTGTACCACTGGTCAAATCTCAAACCAGGGCTACTGTATAATATTTCACTAGCAATTGACTTCTGATCTGACCTTGAACTGAACTTGGGCTTCTATTGACTACTGTATTTTGTGATCAGCGCCCTTTTGCTCCGTTCCAACCTCGAGGACCCTCAGTCCTGACCTTGCATCTGGGCCTCTGTTAATTATTTCACCACCAATGCCCTTATGGTGTCAATTCCAATCTGCACTTCTGTATTAATGGTTGTACCACTGGTTGGGCACAGTGTCTCATGCCTGTAATCCTAACACTTTGGGTGGCCGAGGCAGGCGGGTCACCTGAGGTCGGGAGTTTGAGACCAGCGTGACCAACATGGAGAAGCACCGTCTCTACTAAAAATACAAAATTAGCTGGGAGTGGTGGTGCATGCCTGTAATCTCAGCTACTCAGGAGGCTGAGGCACGAGAATAGCTTGAACCTAACAGGCGGAGGTTGCAGTGAGCCAAGATCGCGCCATTGCACCCCAGCCCTGGGCAACAAGAGCAAAACTCCGTCTCAAACCCCAAACGACAACAACAACAACAAAACAGTTGTACCATGAATGCCCATGGAGTCTACACTTAAGCCCAGGCCTCTGTTAACTAGTCTACTATCATTGACTCTTTGGTCTGACCTCAGACCTGGGCATCTCTCTCTTTTTTTTTTTTTTTTTGACATAGAGTCTTGCTCTGTTGCCCAGGCTGGAGTGCAGTGGTGCCATCTCGGCTCACTGCAAGCTCCGCCTCCCGGGTTCAT